CTGCTCTTCCCTCTACTTATCCATCCATCTACCATCGACCTACCAGCAATTGGGCTGCAAGAGACGGGTGTCGTCCCCTCGCAGCTCTAAACCGCCCCAACCCCAACCCAACCCTTATAAATCGTCCCCTCCATTGGGTAATCTCTCATTGACACCAACCAACCAACAACTCCGGCCAATTCAGACCTCAGCTCGTCAACTTCATCAAACTCAGCAGCCTGAATTTCATGTGGTACTACTCATCCCCGAACCACCTAAATTCAGCCTGGAATTCGAATGGTACCAATATAAAACTTCCCGTGTTCCCCAACATGTATAAAATGTATGAAATATGTTTCAGGTGAATTTAATTAATTAACTAATTAATTAATTAATTACAGCCAAATTACAGCAGCTAAATAATCTCGATCTGTTGCAGCTAAATATTTTCGAAAGTCACTCGTCAATTCGACTCACTCGCGTTACAAATCATTCGTGAGTTCAATGAGTTTCACTTTTTACTGGTTTCTCTCTTCTATCCACAGTAATTCTTCACATAAACCAGATTCACTATATGCACGCGTGCGTGCGTGCATGCTTGTACGCGTGCGTATAACTCAATGGTATATAAAGAGAAAAACAATGAAGGAGGATCAGTGCATTCAGCAGACGGATGCGTGGGCGGCTGGCGGAGTTCGATCCCCCAGGAAGCCGAGACGTTTTGTCATTCGCCGTTCAGAAATTTGGATTCGATTTTAAAAAGTCATTTGTCATTTTCACTTAAACAATAAAAATCATAATTGATTTTAACTGATTCTAATCTAAACTTACAGCTAAATATTTCAAATCTATTGCAGCCAAATAATCAAATAATCCGCAAATAATAATCGTCTAAAGCACATTAGTACGAATTTGAATCTCATTCCCAATACAGTTTCCCTACCCGTACGGGTAAGTACACCCTCCCAAAAAATCACCCACTTGAACAGACACGTAAACGAACCAACAGGCTAAGATTGCAGGTTCCTATGTCTCTTATATTATTTACTCTGTTCTATTCTCCCAATCCAACAACAACAACCTTCAAACTTCTATCCAAACTGTACCATATCTCACAATTCTGTACCACCCGCGACTGAATAATCTGTACCTATACCTCCACTTCAACTTCTAACAGATTCCACATTCGACAGCTCAAAACCCATCGATATTTCGCATTCGACAGCCCAAAACCCATCGATATTTCACATTCGACAGCCCAAAACCCATCAACAGTCCACATTTCGCAGCCCAAAACCAATCAATATTCCAAAATTTGAAAACACCACCGAAATGGAACACACATATACGTATATATTATCGTACCATCCCATATGCGACAACAAGAGTAATTCCTCACTAGACTCACCCTCAAAAAACATTTTAATCGAAGTGCAGACTGCAGACACCCCAAACATTCTCTCTTTCTCTTCCTCTCTCGCCATTACAGACACTCTCTTCCCGTCTTTTTCCGTCTACCTGTCTGTCTGTCTGTCTGTCATCTAGCCTCCTAAGACATTCCTCCTGACTGCTGCCCATGCATAGCGCCATAAACATCCGCTATTTAGTTGCAGCACATGTTGTTGCAGCTATTACAGCACAAAACCTCTACCAGTCATCATCGCGTTTTTTTGCAGCCTACCAATATTTTTCTCCATCTTAAGCTCTCCGATTTTCACGTTCACTCTCACTCCCACTCTCCATCTATTGCTCTCTCGCGTTCCTACGCTCTTTTCGGTTCCTTCATATGTCTGCTGTCTCCGCATTAACCACAATCTTTCCGTTTCGTTTAGTATTTTTGTTATTTGAAACAAATAAACAAAAAAACATAGCAACCAAATAGCAAGTACCCAGATGATGCGCATTTTACAGCACAATATCCGAAGCGCTCGCGT